TTTCAAAATCGAAACGCATGAATTGCATGTGAAATAATTCCTCTCATAATCGCTTTTCTTTCTTGGAAGAGAATTCTCTCCGGATTCATTTTGTGAGAATTATAGGGTTTCTCACATTTTAGTCGTTCATCGTATATCGTATGGTCAGTTTTTGTCAAGTACTATTTGTGTTCAATTTTAAATAAAAAAAATCAAATGATTTTTTACCGCATAATGCACGATGAATGGGATCCCCACAATTTAGATCTGGATGGGATCCAAATCCTTCTTTCCTATTTAGGTTTGTGTTTCATGTATTCCCTCCCAAGCTTTAAAATGGTGCCGTAGCGTTTCTTGTAAGATATAAATTGCTAAGCAAGTTTCCCTTTTACCCACGCACACATTATTGACCCTTTTATTGTTGGTAATTTATTATAATTTTTTTTTAATGTTTCCCAATACACCAAGTGCAGGTCGGTCCATAGATTTTTGAGGTCCAGGACGATGCCTAAAAATGTGCTTTAACTTCATATAAGAAAATTATTTATTTTCACACGTAAGACATCGATAAAATTATACTTAGAAAAGCAGTTCAAATTCAATAATTTAGAAATACAAAAAGACTAATTTATTTTGTATCGAGAGAAGGAAGCCAAAAAACTCTGAGCTTACAAGTAGATAGACAATACCACGGTGGTCATCGTTTGCCTCGCAATTGTACCTTGTGTTACACTCAACAGGACCGGTCCATAGAATTTTGAGGCCTAAGTGACATCAAAAAATGTTCCCTAACTTCATATAAAAAAATTATTTATTTTCACAAATAAGATATTGATAAAATTTTAGAAAAGCAATTCAAACTCAATAATTTAGAAACACATAAAGACTAATTTATTTTGTATCCAAAGAAGGAAACCAAAAAACTCTGGGCTTACATATAGATAGACGATGAGTTTTGTTTTTCATCTGAACTTTTAAAGTGTTTTTGTATAAATCTTGAGGTGTTTTTTCTTATTTACTAATCTTGTCAATATGAGACTAAAAAAAAATAATGTTTTCAAGCCCTTAATTAATATGTATAAGTAATGAATGGGCACCCAATTAAACATTTTGATGACACGGCATATGATTTGTAAATTTGCTCTAAAATTTTGGTCTACATATTACTCTTTGTAGAATATTAGACTTGAATTCAAATGAATATTTAAAAAGCAATCCACATAGCTAATAGCTAGTAACTAAAAATAAATTAAAAACCAAACAAATATTCGTAAAAATTTAAAAGAATAACCACGCGCATTTCAAACTTAGGAAATCTCATTAATTTTAAACAATAAAAACTACCTCTTCATTATTTTCAAATGACAAAACCACCATTTCTAGTTAAATTTCTTTGTCATCAAACCAACTTTTATAAATTTATACTCTTATGAAAACATATATAAATATACCACCTTAATAATTTTGGTGCCCCAAATTTTTTTGGACCCTGGACAATCGCCCTACTCGCATTGGGCGTGGGCCGGCGCTAACCAAGTGTTGTAATATAAGTGGTTGAAATTTTTTTTTTAAATATCTAACCACTTGTATTATGACGATTTGTGTACTAGGCGGTGTTCCCAACACATTGAAAAATATATCATTTTACTATTTTCTTATCCTTCCTTTTTGGTTAATTATTTGCAAGTCTTTTTGCCATTTTCCCCACATTTATTATCTATAAACAAGTGAGGGAGGGGCGGAGCGAAAATACATTATCTCATTTTGTAGAAAATATATAAAATTCTTAACCATCTGAGTTACAAGTCATCTCATCGCCACATCCTTCACTATTTGAATGCCAACATGGGTCATATGGCAACTTGGACCTCTATAGAGAAATTTAATGAAAGATTAACTAGAATGAAGTAGGACCTCATATCTTTGTCGATATTTGTTCCATATTAACTTAGGGTTACCGGCCAATTCCTAAATATACCAATTTGTTATATGTAAAATGTACCCTTTTTTATATAAAATCTATTCAATTTTTTTCTAATTCATTTTTAAACTTATACGGGTACATATTTTTTCTTGATTTGAGAATGTATCCATGTCAAGTTTAATCAAAGAAATTTACACTAAAATTTTAATAAATATTGCATATATAATTATATTTTATAGATATAATACTTTGTAAAACAAATATAATTATAACTAAATCAAAGATAATATCATCTTCTTCATTACTAAGTCTAGTTGTACTTAGAAACTATATCATAAAGTCCTAAAATGTTGTAATTATCTATTTTATTGTAAGTAATTATAGAGAACTTTAAGAGAAATAAGGCTGAGCGGCCACAATTATAGGGAATTTCAAGGAAAATAAAGGTTGAATGTCACAATTATAGGGAAATTCAAAAGGAAATAAAGGTTGAGTGGATAAATTATATGGAATTGTAATGATATAAAGGCTGAGTGGAGAAATTATAGGAAATTTAAAAGCAAATAAAAGCTTAGAGAAATTATTATAGGGAATTTAAAGGAAAGTAAAGGAAGAGTTAGAGTTGGAGTTAACCTTTGTCATTTGGATTTTGGAGAGAGAAACTCTCTCTTTCTTCTTCGTTTAAACTAGAACAGTCTCTAGCATTTTAGAAACAGACATGAATTTTGAAGGGAAAAAACGCCCAAGTTGAACGCCTGGGCGCACCTCAGTCGCCTAGGCAAGCCCCGACACAGCCCTAAACCCACCCCAACAAAACAGAGGCGAAAATCCAACCGTCCAGCCTTCAAGACCGTCTAGGCGCACCTTAAGGCGAGTTTTTTAAAACATTGAGATATACACACACAATATATTGGAGAGTATAATTTATATTTTAATAACTTTAATCCACAAATTATGGGTTTTTTTTAAATTTAAAATCTCATTAATACAAACAACTATAAATTTCAATTTTTAATTAAAAAAATATGGTAACCTACATAGAAATGCATTATCACATTAATTTTAGAGACTTCAATTAAAAATTAAAAATCAACAAAGTTTCAGTAAAAAAAATATTGATAGTTAGAGATTGCATTCAAAGTATCCCTATTTTGAATGTATATATATTTCAATTAGAAAATTAAAATGTCCCAATATATATATATATATATATAAGTCTTGGAGAGCTGAATAATTCCTCAACTACTTGTTAAAAAGAGAAAGAGAGGAAAGCCACCTGCACGTTCTCAGCTTGCTTCCAAATTTTAGTGTGTTGAAGAATGGTGGATGGTGGATACAAATCGAAAACTGCATCAAGTGTGTCACGCTACACACATACACACACTCACTTACCCAACCTAGCTTTAGCTAGCTTGTGCATTGTCTGGACTCTGGAGGTGGATACACTTGAGGATCGAGTCCCTACCAACCATGGATATGAATACGAATACGGGATACAACTACGATATGACACGATTGGTGATTCGAAAAATTTCTAAAAATTAAGATATGATGCGTTATGGATAAGGCAACAAAAATATATAGCAACAAAGATATACAATTTAAAACATAATTCATCATTCAAATTCAATTACATTTGAGTTGTTGGAGAATAAAAGTTGGAAATGTAGTCCTCTTTGTATACATTTGAGAAGTGTGTGAGTCGTATTCGTGGTTTTAATTAGAGATAGGCTCTTTGTATCCATCAACTTTGAATTATACACGTCTCTTATTAATTTTCTCCTCCTCATTATCTTTTTTGAAAGTGTAAATGTATCCATGAAAGCAGGATACGCTTATTCTTAATGTGGGATATGCATACCCATCAAGTCAAATCCATGTCCATTGACCATGATACGTGTTCTACGAGTATCCGAAAGTATCGATTCTTGAAATTTTGATGTCAAATATTCAATTAACAGCAACCAGAAAAGAGTTTCAGTCCCTCAATCCCTCACATGTAACTTACCATTGGTTTACATTGCTAACAACACTAAAAACTTTCTGCTTAGAAATCCCATTGGCATTCGCTTGATTGAGTAACAAGTAACAGTTACGGTTTCGAATTGAAACCCCATTGGCATACATGAGGTGGATGTACTTCTCGACCATTTATTGGATTATAAATTGAAAAACAAATCGTTTTTTAGGGAGTTGTTATTGGTACTTCAAATAGCTCATTGTGCACTCTAAATATTTATATTTTGAAAGAAAAAAATTGGCACTTATAAGAAGTGCACAATGAGATTTAAAAGCGTTAGCAAAAACAATTTTTTTTTAATATATAGCATTATCACATATAAATTTTTGATAAAATTTCTTTTTTTTAGGCCCCTTCAAATTTGGGGCGTGATTGCATCTTTAGCTCCCCAAAACCACCTCTGCTAGCTGATATATGATTAAAAGCACCAATGCACTATATAGTTACTTGAAATAGGTTAATCATATAAAATTACTCAAGATTTTAATCCATCTCCAGAGTCCAGACAATGCACAAGCTAGCTAAGCTACGTAGGGTATGTGAGTGTAAGCTAAAGTGTGTGTGTGTGTGTGTGGGGTTATATGCACTTGATACAGTTTTTTATTTGTATCCACCATCCACCATTCTTCAACACACTAAAATGTGTGGAAGCAACCGGAGAACGTGCAGGTGGCTCTCCTATATCGCTTGCTTTTTTAACAGTAGTTGAGGAATTATTCAGCTCTCCAAGACTTCTATATATTGGGACATTTTAATTTTCTAACTGTAATATATACATTGAAAATCATTTTCGTCAAAGCTTTGGTCCCACGACGTATTTAGTTAGTTTCTTAAGGCATTTGGCATTTGGCACGACAAGTTCTCGTAATCACATTTCATCATATATATTTACAGAGAAACAAATATGAGTGCCGATAAATTTACGATATTAGGATATCGTTCCATGCATCATCTTTTGCATGCATGGTTTACGAGTTTTTTTTCAATGATGGTATTCCCAAACTACAGTTTATATGTACATGTTTCCAAATTGCGGTTTATATATCTTTTTGACAAAAGCAAAGCATTCCTTAGGGGTAAATGAAGAAAACCATTTATTCTTTTTATTGACACAACTAATTTGTCACACAGCACACATACATATTGCATATATAGGGGGAAATGTAAATCAATCCAACTTTTTTTCTTAAACTGTTCTCTCTCTCTCTTAAATAGAAGCAATAGTCATCGCTATAATAAATACGATACAAATAATATTATTATTGTATTTTTTCTTGCAATTTTCTCATCCATGTTTATATTTGTCCTTTGATTCTCATCATCAGACTTATTAAGCCTAAAAATGACCCGAAGTGTGCATGTATGAGAGAAAAAAGATGTGCGGAAATATATCATATATGAAGCACAAAGTAGGTATGACTATCTAGTAGTCACTAGCAAGCTGCATTAGTTTCTTCCAAGAAGGCCTGTTGGATATGTCCTCCCACCATGCATTCACTTTCTTCCTCCCAGTCACCAAATGCCCCAGTTTAGCTTCATCAATCAGATACCTAATCCCAGGAAGATGGCTCAGATCAGCCAGAGTGAAAGTTTCTCCAGCAAGATATTTGCTTTTTGACAATCTTTCCTCATAAACATCAAACACCTTCTCCAGTTTCTCCTCACATGCATTGATTAATGCAGCGTCGCCACGTTGACCCATCCGTGGCAGGACAAGAAGCTGGAGCACCAGAGTGTAAACCAGGTCGTTGAAGTTGTGGCCTTCCACTTCCAGCCACTGGTCAACAACTGCTTTCTCCTCCAGAGTTGTTCCCAATAGGTTGGGACCACGGCCTGCATACTTGGCTGCGTAGTACCTTATGATCGCCCTAGATTCTGGGAGGAGAAAAGATACAAAATCTCAGACCATAAAAGAACATGTACGTAGGAACATGCGTGTGTGTATATTTATATATGAGAAAGACTTGGCTCCTCAAGGATTGAGGAGGAAATTCTCCTTGAAATATGTTGTAGGTTTTTTTTTTTAGAATTTTGTGCTAATGATCAGAACCGTTCATATTATAAATAATTATGTAATCTATTTATACAAAAAGTCAATTAAAACAAAGATAATTTACTGTATAAAAGATATATAGATGGAACTGTTTATCTATTTACTACAATTAGTTGACTAAACAATCTTACTTTTAATTTATTTTTTTGGAGGGATAATTTTTACAAAGTGATTTATAATATGGAAGGTTCCAATTATAAACACGAATTTTTGTGAATAGGCCATAAAATACATTATATATATATATGTATGTATGTATGTATGTATGTATGTATATGTATGTGTATATATGGTTCTCACCAAAGAGCCTGAAGTCACCATCTTCTACAACTGGAACTTGCCCAAACGGCTGCAAAACAATTAAACATCTATCAATATACATGAATATATATATACATATATATATATATATATATATATATATATATATATATATATATATATATATATATATTACAGGTTCAATATTAACAGCCATATTCCAGCATCACTCTACCTCCTTTAAGGGCTTTGTCTTAGCCCGTAAGTTTACAGAATTTTGTTGACGCTTGATTTAGAATTACATTTAACTATTATGTATGTTACATGCGCACTGTATGTTTTCAAACTGTGAATCGAAGAACTACCTGACGGGTGAGAAACTCGGGTCGCTTGTGCTCTCCTGCCTCAAGATCAACATCTACAATTTCAAAGTTCACTCCTTTCTCCAAAAGGCAAACCATCACCCTTTGGGGGCAGGCTGCCATTACTGGACCATATACTTTGACAACCATCTTCTTGTACAACAAAGTGCTAGCCAAGAATATATATTGACACACTCGAAAGCGTGCAAATTAAGTATATATATGAGAATTGCACAAATCTATGTTTCGGTTTTTGGCATTTCAGTGAGGACTCAAGCACTCTATATATATACATGCATTTAGCATGACTCGATGCCTTTGGGTTCGCCATCGCGGGGGTTGCTACTTGCCACGTGAGTTTGACTTTCAATGGCTTGTACATGAACATGTGTGCTATATATAAGCTACCTAGCCAGGTTGAAAGTATAAATGTAAAAGAGAGATTAATTCAAGAGTAAATACACAATTAATAATTCATTTCGTCATTAAACTATATAGCAATGATATGATTTTTTTTTTTTTTTAAAAAGGGACCAACTTGTCGTTTCGCCACCGCAGTCAACACTTCCGGGGGTGGAGAAGACTCACATAGGCATTTCAGTCTCCCTCTGAGCACCATTGTGTGTTTCACACGCTCTAGGAATCTAACCAAAGACGTTTTCATTCCCAACCACAAGGCACCCCGTGGTGGTTATAGCAATGATATGAATAAATAACATTAGAAAAATTGCTAGTTAAAATGTTATTTAAACACAAATTATCATATTGCATATACAATTTACAATAGACGTGAACTTTATTATTATATGTAAGATCTATCAAAATTTAAGTGTTTCATGTATGTGTGTGTTTCTACAAATGACAGAGTGTTTCCAAGACTTTAGGGAGGACACTACCAAGACGCAGTAGAGGCCATCCCCCATCACTCTGTATATTTTGTTCCTTCGTAGTTGGCATTTTTCTTTACTTTCCATGCTTCATGCAATGGCACTAAAAAAAGGCTAATTCATGCACTTTCCTTCCAGCAATCCCCTTTCAAAAATTGCATAAACTATATATGTGAAGATTATTGATGCATTCTTTTGCATGATTATACAAAATTTTGCATACTATATAAATTATGCTCCCTCTTAGAAATACAATGGTTGAGCAGTCACCTAATTAAATGAATTTTTTTTAGAGATGATATTTAGATAATAACAAAGATAATGACTTGTTCCAATTATGACGTTTATAGCTAAAAACACTCAAACCATGGCTCAAACCAAATATTCTTTTAGAACGGGACAACATGCACGACAATTTATGCCATAACAGTTGATTACAACTAGATATTAATCTCATAGCAAAATATCAAAACGCACGAACGAGGTAGAAACTGTGTTATGGGGAGAGAGGGTGGGGGCCGGGGCCGGGGCGGCGCGCGCGGGGGGGGGGGGGGGGGGGGGGGGGGGGGTTGACGGGGGACAACAAAGGAAGACTTTGGGATAAAAATTAGGTATATCAGTTTATGGTGGTTGATGGGGGTTAGCTCGTGTCTCTTAGCCGGTGAGTAAGACAAAACCAACGCCCTGTTATGGGTATGGCTATTCACCCACCACACGATGAAATTTACTTTCTGCCAATGTGTGTCTGGCGCCCATGCATACACGTCTCTTCTGGGGATTACGTGCGAGTGTACGTCAAGCTAAATTTCAACGAACGACAGTTTCGAACGGATGTGTACAATGCGGAATACACTGGGTTTCGTTTTAGTTATATCCACGTTCTAAAGATCAACAAACGCCAGGAGGATAGAAACTTTTTTCTGCAACTGTGAAATAGTTTTTGTATTGGTGTCATTCGTATAACGGGTGTTTGTCACGTATTTATAATGTACATTGTCAATTTAATAAATGTTTGTCGCATGATATCTTTTTTTATTTAATAAAAAATGATCAATTTGTGATTTTTTTTACTGCAATTCATTCTTTCAGAGGCTGAAAAAACTCAAAGATGCATTTCAACCTTTTCTAGCCACTTTTATGTGATTCACAAGTGTCAGGAATCAAGCTCACGACGTATTGGATGAAATATAGGCCTAAAATTTGTTCCGAACTACTAGGCAACCGATGGTTGTCACATGGTGATAATTTATCTCGTACAGAGATGATGCGTAAAATAAGTTAACACACAAAATTAAACCATCTTTTTTGACAATTGTAGTATAGATGTAAGTAGGGTATCGTTCTAGGCCGGGGATTAGGAGGGATTGCTAATCTGTCCTAAATTAATTTAAAAATATTAAACAAGACTCAAGGATACAAAACTAGGCTAAAAACTCTAATAACTCGAAACACACTTAAAATGACTCAAAATAATGAAAACAATTAAATTAAACACTAGGAACTGAAATGGATGGAAATTAAATTAAAAGACTAACAATAAAGAAAACTAAATAAATAATATAATTTAATAATGGATGGGTGTTTGGTTTTGATGAAAAGTAAATTAAACTTAATTAAATTACAGAATTGACAAAAACATGAAATTAAAATGAAAAGATAAATGACGGACTAGCTAGAGGGTTCTTCTCCACACATGTTATACTTGCATACAAAATGATTTCCAGTTGTTCTTTCAATAAATTGTGAATTTCAATACTCCAGATTAACCGTGAACAGCACTTTTTTAATCTTCAAGTTTTCCTTAAGTTATTGAATTGGACGGGAAAACGCATACAACAATTCAAAACATTCTTCAAAAGTCCCCTACGTGAAAAGCACAATAGAGATACAATCAAAGATCATTAAACTTTGTGAAAACTATAAGCATTGACGAGGCATTCGTAACTATGAAAAGCATGATACTCTTGCCAAGAATTTACTTAACGTGATTGTGACTAGCAACCTTTACTACTTGTGAAAATAAGTTCATAACGATTAGGTGAAATTCACTTATATTCTAGCATCAAATTCATGCATGTAAATTAAGCGTGCACTCTCAACCAACATACACAAATCAGTTTTTATACGAACGGATAAGTAAATTGAAATCACAACTTATGAAATCACAACCGAAGGTAATCAATTCATATTACAAATATATCCATGACTTTGAATTAACCTCTAGCCAAAATAAATTTAATTACACATTATTAAAAATAGAAATAAAAAATAGGAGTTTGGAAAGATTAAACCGAAAGAAAGGATCTGCTGCTTGGACTCTGAACTGCATGAACTCTGAACTGCATTTTCATGCTGACCTCCTGTCCTCTCTACGTCTGCGAGCTGCCCTCCTTCTTTCTGTTTTCCTGTGCTGTCTGACCTCGCTGCCAAAGGGCAGCTTCCCCCTTCCCTTCTCTCCGCAGCTTCACGCTGCCCAAAGGGCAGCCCTCTGCCTTCCACCAAAATTCCCCTTCCACAATCACCTCCTTCTCACTTCTATATCCTCCTCCCCTCACTTTGCTTTTCGTGTTTCTTATTCCTCCAGTCTGCCAGTGCCTCTCTGCCCTCACTTTCTGCACGCTGTTTTCTGACCCGCCAGCTGCAAAGGCAGCTCCCTGACTTCCTTCTGCTTTCCGTCTCTCCCTTTTTCTGCTTGTTTATATTTATTTTTTTCTTCTTTTCCTTTTCCTTCTTTTCCTTTTCCTTTCTTTTTCTTTTCTTTCTTTTTCTTTTCTTCTTTGCCGTTCCTTTCTTCTTCTACAAAACATGAATCATGATGATGTTTCAAACATCATCATGACTTGTTATTATTATTATATATATATATTTTTTTTAATTTTATTTAAAAGCTGATCTACACAGACAGTTTTGACGAATTTATTACATAAAATTTCACTTGTTCTATTTTTATTTTCTTTGCATAACAAATCCTATAAACACAAAAATAACGTAAATAGCTCAAAAATATAAGGAACTAACTAAGAAAAGACGAGTGAATTCGAAGTAAAAATATATATAAATATCATCCGATCAAATACCCCCACACTTAACTTTTGCTAGTCCTCGAGCAAAACAAAGAAAACAAGAACAAGAAGTAACAAGAAAAACATTAGTTTCTCCCTATCTGACCCTCATAGAATTTCATTTAAGAAAACAAATCATCAAGAACCATAGCTAGCATCAAGGAACTAATCCAAGTTCATCTTCCTTATTCAAATATTAGCAGTAGTCTTCAAATCATCCTTGAAGTGTAGTGTGTGAGATAGCCATGCTAATGCAATTTCAAGTTTTTATTTTTAAAATCATCATATGCAAACTAGTGACCTTCTCACGGGATATGCACTCAATCACACATGTGTTTAGTTTTAATGTGTTTCGCTCAAAGAAACAAATGTGAAATTTCTACCATAAGCTTGCATAAAGATCACTTCTCCACAGTCATAATTGCAAAACTTAAATCAAGATGACTTTTATTGGATGTAATGAGGCTTAGGGATAGGGTTATTGAAATGAAAGAATAGGAAAACACAAGTTCCAAGCTATATTGCAAGCAATTCTTTTGTTTAGATTTATAAGAACTCAATTTTTTCAGCGATTCTTCTAGCACCTCCAACCATACCCTTAAACTGAAACTTTTAAAAAAAAACTTTTTTTTTTTCTTTTTTTTTTTCTTTCTTTTTTTTTTTTTTCGTATACAATCTTTCTTTTTCTTTTCTTTTCTCTTTTTTTTTTTTTTTTTTTTTTTTTTTTTTTTAAATACAAACACGAAATACCTCCACACACTTATTCTTTTGCCAAACACCTTCAAAGTACTTCACAAACGTTTCTCATAAAACAATCTCACATTGCTCACTAGCTTGCTTGGAAAGGGTAAGGAAAAATGTTTCAGGTATAAGGGTAGACATATCTGGTGATAAGAAATAAAAGGCTCAACATACATGGCTCAAATTGGCAATCTAATGATATCATTTTTTTCTTTGGGAAACATGGTTATTTGGGCCATAGTGGTAAACCTAATGCCTCTATCATTTCCAAGTTCATGCAATCAATGACAAACATTTCGAAAGATCGTTACGCAAGTTCTAGAGATGTATCTCACATAAGTTCATCACACATGAAAGAATAGGAGTGTATGAAAAATGCACACACTTTCAATAGGCTCAAAAACTCACATAGGATGTATATGGTCACTAAATTCACATATGAAGCTTTAAGTCATACTTTAGTTTCACATTAACAAGGCTATGTGCATTTGGTTTTTCAAAGATGGTCAAACATGTACAAAACTAACAAGAGAATTAGGAATTTCACAAAACACATGTTAACTAAGTT